GGGGGGGTACTAGAGCCGTCCCGTGTGCAGCATTCGTTGTTGGCGTATGAACGTGTACAGGAGAGACCTGGAGGGCATTGGAATCGTTGTTTTACGCCAAGTCTTTCCGTCAGAGTGCCGGTAGCATCATGTCGCTCACGTACGGCAGGGAGAGGGTGGGTGGGTGGTAGGAGATGCGCCGCAGTGGGGTGGCGCTCCAGTTGTTGCATGCGAGGAGGGGAGATAGGCAACCGTTCCACCGAAGGTGAGGTGAAGGTTCATGGGTGACACTGCATAACAGGGAAGAAGGAAGGCAGCATGCGCTATTAATAGTTGTTACCCCGTCGTCATCCACGTCTGCGTCCCCCCTCCTGCTGCAGGCGTTTGTGGACATTCGCAACCTGTCGGAGCTGTTAAACGAGTCTCCGGACATTGTCGACGCTCCCGATGCCATCGACCTGCCCAAGACGCCTAAGAATGTCGGCATGAGCCTGGAGTTTAGGGACGTCTGGTTCTGGTACCCTAGCCAGCCTAGGTGGGTGAAAAGGCCCTCGTCCCTGTGTGTCGTTGGCTCTGTTTTGTGTTTCAGCAGTCTACGCAGACCTTGCTGGATAAAGCATGGAATGGGCTAAGTTACGGTTATGGCCTGCGTACCCCGTCGCTGGTGCTCTATCGTGTGTATGCGTAAGAAATGCTCTTGCAGTTTCTTCGCGTTTGCGATCCTTGTGTTTTGCCGTTGCGGTGCTTGTTTTGTTGTTTGTATTGTTTGTGACCGTTGCCGCCGCAGTCCTTATTTGTGAGAGGTACGTATCGCCTTTCAATGTTGCCGAACTAGAGTGCACTTGCTCGGAGATGGGTGATGCGGGAGAGGAAACGCATGTCGTTTGCTGCTGCTGTTGTTGTTGTTCGTTTGGTCACCACGGCTGTAGATCGCCTTGGTACGAAGTAGTATCGCGTGTTGCCGATCGGTGTAAGTGATTTCCTTGTAACAGCCTTCCCCACCGTTTCGAGGGCACCATTTTGTGTTCAGAAGCATGGCGCCCCGCAGAATGTAAGGACTTTGCGAGGGTAAATGATGTCACTATGTTCGAAAATGTCACCATTAGTCTCTCTCACATAAGATCACCGTGAAGTAGTGCGCTTTAAGCGGGGGCCACTCTTTTGCGAGGGAACCACACATCCCTGGAGGGGGCTCCTTGACTGGGTCTCCTTCTCACCCCCGGCCCTTATTTCCCCCCAACTGCCGACCCTTGTACCAACAGCCACAGGGGGCTCCGCGGTATCTCCTTTTTCGTGGAGCCGGGCACCACGACGGCCCTGGTGGGACACACCGGGGCGGGCAAGACGACCATCAGCCGCTTGCTGTTCCGGTTCTACGACCCCGTCAAGGGGATGGTGAGTCGTCTAGGTTATCGGGTGGTGTTTCTTTTGTTGCTGCCGCTTGTGTCTGTTGTTGCTGCTGCTGTTGGTTGCTGCCGCTTGCTGCTGCTGCTGCTGCTTCTGTTGTTGGTTGTGTGCCTGCGGTCATGATAGTGTCGTTGGGATGAATCGCTGTTGTTGCCAAGTGTCGTTTCACTTGTTGATTGTGGGTGGTTGTATTTTTTGCGGTCATGATGTTGTTGATGAGGTGCGTTGCTGTTGTTGTTGCTGCAAGACGAAATGTGATCGCCTTGTCAGAAGTTCTCAACGCCAATACAGCACTATATACCGTTTCGTGAGCCACTTTGTTCTTGGCATCGACAAGCGCTGCTTAGCGGCTACCCAATGAAATCGACCAGCGCTGTTTAGCGGCTACACATGGAGAATGCCAGTCTCGGTGCGTCCAAAAAATGGAGAAACGCGTCTCACAGCCATCCATACTCTGTGGGATGTCGCTCTCGGCAGATCCTGTTGAACGGCCACGACATCAAGGCGGCGACCCAGCAGAGCGTTCGCCGTGCGATAGGAGTGGTCCCCCAGGACACGGTCATGTTCAACGACACCGTGCTCCACAATGTCCGTTACGGGCGAATGGACGCCACGATGTCGGAGGTAAGAATCGGATCCTGCGGCAGCTACTATGTACGGCAGTAGTCCTTGTTGCGTGTTCCATCGTTTGAGCGAGTGTTTTTCTCGACAGGGATGTACGAGCATGCAATGTTGCTCGGTATGCGCGTACCAGGTGACAAGGGTACTTTGTTGATTGGAGCCACGATGCTGAAGGCGCAAATCGGAATTTGCAGGAGCTAGCACCCCCGCGTGTAGTCTTGGTTTGGGTGCCCGTTTGTGGAACGTGTGTTTTCTCGACTGGTCCGCGTACAAGGGCCTCGCAGGAGAGGAGGGACCCACAATTTTTTTTTTTACTGTCGAACACGATGCGATGCTTTTTTATTTATTTTTCGTCCATCTCTTTTCCGTATTTTTTTGAAAAGTCGTGTTCGACGTTTTATGTCGTTTGTTGTTGTTTTCTGAAATGGTGATCGATATTCGTTACGTCGCATGTTGCCGGGTCGCTTTTGGGGGTGTCGCCGTGTCTGTTGGGGGTGGTGGTGTAACGCACGACAGGTCGAGGAAGCTGCGGAGTCGGCCCAGATCAAGCGTTTCATCGAGCAGCAGCCCGAAGGCTGGTCGTCCAGGGTGGGGGAGCGCGGGCTCAAGCTCTCGGGAGGGGAAAAGCAGAGGGTCGCCATCGCGAGGTGTCTGCTAAAGGACCCTCCCATCGTGCTGCTAGACGAGGCAACGAGTGCTCTAGACAGGTACAGCAGTATATGCGTGACGCTGCTGGATTTTTTTTTTTTTTGTGCTCTTGGGGAAGTTGTTTTGGCTCTGCAGTGCTTGCAGTCTTTGCCTCCGTGTTCGGTTCCACCCTTTGGTTGCTTTTTATAAGGAAAAATAAGTACACACACAGAAAGTACTCGTTCGAGGTATACCCACAGTCGAACGGGATGTGGTGGAGTCTTTTCAGCGAGTGGAGGAACACTGGCTGGGTACTGGACTTGTTTTTATGTTTCGATGTAATCGATTTGCGATTGAAACGATCAAATCCAGACCGTACAAATGGATTAAATGGACGAGAGGTGCATATCCCCCTTGGCATGTCTACCGCAGGTTACGTCAAACATCACACCCCCTGGACCCCTTGTTTTCAAAGCTCGATTACTCCATGACGAAGAGGATACCAGGACTGAACGAAAGCGTTTCGGCAAGCTCCCTACCGGACGGCTCCAAAGGCTCCATGTTCGGCACGGTTTCTGCCGTTCATACCCAAGAGTCGAACAGAGCTTTGGAAGTCGGTCGTGGATGTGCGTGACATCTTGTGCGACCTGCTGTTAGCCGCGCGGGAAGCGTAGTTCCTGTTCTCACGCGTCGCCGGTGTGTATTGTTCCCGGTTCTTGTTCCTCTCCGTGCCCTACCGCCGGCGTCCGTGTCCCCGTTGTGATTCCTTCAGTCGTACGGAGCAAGGAGTGCAAGAGGCACTGAACGGTCTCAAGACTAACCGGACGACGATCGTCATCGCGCACCGGCTGTCGACCGTCCGTAACGCCGAGCAGATTCTCGTGCTCCACGAGGGGCAGGTATGCAGAGCACGTGGTAGCTGACAGCTGTGTCTCGGTTTTGTGTTGCGGTGCTGTTTGGTTGGGGTTGTTGTCGCTGTGGTTCTATGTTGCAGATTGCCGCTGCTGCTGCGGCTGCTGCGGCTGCTGCGGCTGCTGCGGCTGCTGCGGCTGCCGGTGTTGTGTTCAGCACATGTCATGCCCGTGTTCAGGGTCAACGTTCGCCCAGCACACCAAACTACGCTCAGACCACGTACAGTTGTACTGCTGGACGTCGACGTAAGTTATCACCCCCCCCCCCTATGCATAGAAAATTTGCACAACTGGTGATGATTTTGTGAAAGCCACACTTGACAGGTCGCAATGGCGCACGGCAGTGGTACATGTCCGTGTGCTTCGTCATCGTGTTGTTCCATTTCTGTGTTTGTTTTTGCGAGATGGACTGGTGGGTCGATGACACATTCTCAACGGAATTGTTGCAAAACTTTCTCACGCGCGTGCTTGTTCCTCGTTCAATTGGACCTTCCGTGTCTCCTGTGGGTGTCTTGATACCCTTCCAGATTGTCGAGCGTGGTGACCACGACTCGCTCATGGAGCTTGGGGGCGAGTACGCGGCGATGTGGAACATTCAGGTCCAGGAGAGGGAGAAGATGCTCGAGATGGAAGCGGTGAGCCCTCAGATAGTCATCCCCAGTTTTTTATTTTTCTGCTTCACGTCAGATCAGCGCTCACGGCATTCATTTGTGCGTGCCGTTAACTGTATACGTGATCCTGTCTGTTCTTGTTAGTTTTGTAGTTTGAATAGCTCGTCGTGCCTGACACATGTCTTTGGGGAGGTTCTCCATTCTTTCATGCTCCGCTTGAGGACGTTTTGTGTCGTTCGGATTGTTTTGGAGGTTGTTTCGTCTCTAACTGGGTGTGTGTTGAGAGTGTGTTCGTGCCTGGATCGTAACTTTTGAAGATGTTTTCTGTGCTCCACATTGTCTTTTGAAGAGAGACTGCTGTTGTGCCTTCTACATTTCCTCCATGTAATTCTCTCACACATGGGCTGTTCAAGACAGAGTTTCGTTTTCTGCCTCATGTACTCCGGAGAGTTAAGGTTGTGTTGAATAAAATACGCGCGCCTTTGATGAGAGACTGTTGTGCCTTATTCAAGACCCCTCTCGCGGTAGCCTGGCGGGCCGTACGAGGTATTTGCGGCATAGGAGTCAGACGCGGCTTGGTCTTACACACACGCGCCCTTTTTTTTTTTTTTGAAGACTTCTCACGCCTTTTTTCTTTGATGAGAGATTTATCACGCTGAACACTCCTCTCGCGGTGGCCTTCCCCCCGCAGGAGCGTATCGCGGCCATGGAGTCAGACGCGGCAGAGATGACGGGAGCGATCGCTGACGCCCTCCCAACAGACGCCGATACAGCGATTACCCCCAACGGCACTGGTACCGAGGAACAGAAGGAGTACCGGGAGCCTGCAGCACCGCCCGCAGAAGCGGCTGATGCCGGAGCCATCGCTGATGATGCCGTAGTTGACGCTGGCGTAGGTGGCGATGATGATTCTGGCGCGGTGGCGGCGGCGGGCAACGGGCACCAGAAAGATCCGCAGCAGCAGCCGCAGCAGCAGCAGGAGGAGGACGGGGGGGCAGGCTTGACCGCAGCGGGGAAGAAGAAGAAGAAGAAGAGGAAGCCTTGATGACGTCGTTGAAAGGGCTGAAATATTTTCATGTGTTTTTTTTTTTTTTTTGCAAATGTGTGTTGTGGTGTATTATTGTTTGGCGCGAGATTCGGGGCAGCAGCGGCCTTAAGGTGTTCTTGACTCATGGCGCACTCTGCGCATTGGCCTATGTCTCGTGGCTTGGTGGCGGTGCTGGTGTTGCCCCCTGCCCTGCCTAGCGATATTTGCTGCACGGTTGGGAGACAAGAGGAGGAGCACGGTTGGGAGGGGGTGCGACAACTGGCCACGGCGCCGAATTTCGACCCGTTCGGGGGGGTGGGTCCGGGGGGAGGGGGGTCGGACGTATCGGTATATATATTTTTTTTACGTCGTGGGCGCTAGCCAGTCTACACGTTTCATGGGATATGTTCGACGATGCGCCAGCCGGGGGTGACACAGAAAGGTACCGTACGTGCCATGACGTGAGACAACTTACCCCGCGGGCCGATTCTTTTGGGTCGATTTCTCCACAACAGAACAAGTGTGGCGGCGCCAATAATGGCGGCGTTGATGAGAGCCTTCTCGTCGAGATCTTTCCGAAAACGATAGGTTTCGCTGGAGCATCCGCTTTGAAAGACGGTCGTGGGTGTGTGGTATCTAGCGTCACCTACGACAATGACTCCCTTTCGTCGTAAATGCGGGTCATCCATCTACCATTCCTGTACGTACCACCGCTGGGGTGTAGCAAGAAAGAACTTTTCCTCGCGCACGGCATGGTCTTTGCGTGTTGGACCCCATTGTGGCTTGACGCTATCCCAGCTACCTCAGCGGAGTAGGGGTGTGGATGTTTTGAGGTTGTCGTTGTTGTAAAGGATCACGCCTGTCAAGCGGGGAAACCGAAGGGGTTTGGTGGGGGTCCTTGTGACGGTGGCATTCACGAGTGGGTCGGTGGGCCCTCCGACCGGCGCTATTCGGAGCGACCGGCGCTATCAAAGTGCAGAATGTCTTGGGTGAATAAGTCTGTGTCCAGCAATTTCTCCGGCACTATTCAGGGCCACAAGCGTTATTCAACCGGCGTTGCTGAGGTCCTACTTATGTACCGTGGTATGGGTTTCGTTTTTTTTTTGGGTGGGGGATGAGGGATGTGGCCTCCATCCCCCTTGTGGCGAAACGCCCCCGTGAGGCGCATCAGTCTGTGTTGCGCCTTTTACGCCTGGCCGTGTGATCATGTTTGGGTGGTAGGATTATTGATTTGGTCTATCTGTTTTTGTTGCGGGGACAACCAACCCTGCTTGGACTGCTGTACAGCAGCATGGTACCCTGCGTTGCTTTCAACCAAGTGCGAATAAGGAGAAGAACTTGTTTTGATTGCCAAGACGCAGTCTTGACCTGGCCCACTACAGCGAGCTGGATTTCCACTACTGTAACGAGAAGCCTTGTTTTTCGACAGGAATTTTAATTTGGGTTTCGAATAGCTGAGGTACAACCGCCCAGAGCTACGTGTACCACAGGAGTATTTGGTTGAGGAATGCGTTGAAAATAGATTTTTTTGGGGGGCTACACGGAAAGGATACCCGCGAGAGGGGGGTCGTCTTCGTCGCACGGGACCACGCAGAGCGGAATGACGAATGGGATTCTTATTTTCAGTTGCTAAAGAAAGAATATCACAAGCTTTTAGGTACAATGGTTTGGGGTTTTCTCGCGAATGCCAGAAAGAAAAATGAAAAATGCATGCTTTCTTGGTTTTGGTCGCCTTGCGTGTGAAGTCTTCCTAAAAACAAATCTGTCAAGAATCACTGAAGGTACATCGTCTATCAAAGTATGCGGAGGGGGTAATCCTACTACTTGGACGGAACTGCTTGTGTTTTCCCGCTCCGCTTTCGGCCTGTGTGCGTTGCTTGGTTCAATCTCATCAGGCGATTTCGCGGAGAGCGGGAGAGGGGATGGCGGGAGGCCGGCCCCATTACCATCTGTCTGCCCCCCCTTCGTTTGGGTGTTTCTTTCGCGTTGTTGTAGTTGTTGTGGGAAAGGAGTGTGTGTGTTCTCTTTCTGTTGGTGTTGCTAGAGACAAAAAAGCGCATTAACTGAGTTGGTGTTTTGTGTGTGATTCGTCCCATTTATTCCGGGCACAAACCAACCAACCAGTTCCTGACTATGATAGGTTTGACGCGCGAGTCGGGGACACACGGCCGGAAGGTTATGACAACAATACCGGATGGAGGCTTCAAGCTTTTCGTTGAAAAAACAAATGGAATTCTACGGAGGAAAAAGGAAGAAAGTACGTTTAGCCCGAGCTTCGTTTGTTACGGTCAGCAACGACAGAAAAAAACGAGAAACGTCCGCTCGTTCGGGGGCACCGCAGATCGTTGGTACCCATGTGGGGGTACCATGGTGTGCGTGCACCATACTTGTTCGACCTCGCAAGTTGGACTTGGGGCACTCTATGGCCAAGGGGGATGAAAATCAAATTTCGTGTTGTGGCCAAGAAGAAGGTACGAGTTCACAGAAAGTATGCGGAGTAAATGGCGTGGAAACGAGAAGCTGCTGCTGTGTTGTTGCCACGGCGTAGCATTAATATGGCACCAGCAAGCAGTTGATTGAGGGGGGGTGTTTTGAGTCGTTCTTTGCGTTTTACGGTCGGTGCGGATTCGAACCCACCCGTGCTTATTGTAGTCCGCGAACGATCTCGCTTGTGAAAAGCTTTCACGTGGTACAGTACTGTTCTCTTAACCCTCCACACTTACTTGAGACCGACGGATTGGACCTCAAGCAACGGATCGGACCTCAAGCAAGATCGAAATGACTGCGGTATCGACGGTCTTGAGAACCAACAGCCAATCAATCCCCCCTGTGTGCGAAAGAAAACAAATGCGTGCGCCCAATAATCTTTCATGATCCTTGCGAGGACGGGTTTTTCGGTCAAGAATAAGTATTCGAAATCGAGGGCATGCGCACTAAGTACTTGTGTTGTGCAGAGGGCAGCAACCAAAGAAATAATTTCATGTCGCTCCTCCCCCTCATCCACCTTTCTTCTCAATACAACACAGCAGTGCTAAGTGTGAGGGGTTAATAACGCCGGTTGATTAGCACCGGTGGCCCTGTACAGCGCCGGTGGAATCGCTGGGCACATACAGAATCAAGTCTTTCTGGTACATGGGGACCTGAATGGCGCCGGTCAAGGTGCCGGGGCACGCACCGGCGTTATGGAGGGCCCTCCAATTTCAGCACTGACTGCTGACTCCACGTCCTTGATTACCCCCCCAGCCTATGCCTGGTTTGTGTCCGTACAGACGAGCTGAAAGCAGACTTAGACAGGACGAGCAAACGTATGTGCAGCAACGGATGAATGGCAAACTTCCAACAGAAAAGAATCCATGGGAGACATAGATTTCGCCCGCTCTACAAAACTAAATAACTTGATAGTAAAATACTTCAAGATCAATTACACATACCTAGACACGACTTATATCACAACTTGCGAGCCCGGACACGACCCCCTACCCACAAGCCTACCTAGATGAGAGCTGGGGTTTTTGCCTAGACGTAGGAACCCCCCAGCATCGGCACAAACTAGAGCCTGTCCCAGCTGTGTCGTAAGAAAGAAAAAGGAAAGAAACTGTTGCAGTTGCAATAGCGCGACGACGGTGGTACACCGCCGTCGCACCAGAGTGTATGCACGTGGCATATCGGCAAAGAGCGAGAAACAACGACAATGATCGACAAAAAAAAAGTTAAGACACAGCAGTAGAGTAAGACGCAAAGCGGTACCTGTGCCTGCAACGGTACACCCTACCCCCCTCAACAAAGAGCAGCACGTAGAACACTTGCCTCTGTTTAAAAGATATAGTAGCTGTCGCTAAAACGAGCGACAGCTGATAGATGTAACTGTCGTCAGACGTGTGCGTCCGCGGGAGGTGGAAGAGACCCTTTCTTCTTCTTTTTCTCTTTGCAATTCACGTCATT